TAACTTATGTCTGTCTGGGTGTATTGTGTAAACCAAGAATATGTAATAATTCAGAATCCAATCAGGGTAGGTCACTGGAACGAGAGGTTTCATCTTCCAAGCTTTTGGACTCGTGACCGACCCAGACTGGATGGCTGTTCCGGTCACATTATCCTGGGATACGTACGTTCGCCTTCATTCGTGTAATAATTCAGTAATACCCAATGTACTATGTTGTACAAACTGAGCCAGCATGTTATAGTGGTTCTGCCAGGTGGAGAGACCTATGTGCAAATCTGTATTCCTCCAAAAAAATAAAATAAAAAAAAATACCAGTAACTTTGAATACCTAGCTATCTTTTTATGGTATGTTCGTGCTCTTATTTTAAAAATAATGACTCGATGGTTAAAGATACTGAGCTTCTTGTCAGCTGGCAAAATGACACGCCAGCATGAATTGGGCTTCCAACATCCACCTGAGGCACCCCTGCAATCCTTACCTTACCTTACTGCCCCTCTGCTAAAGAGCTGAAAATCCTTGGAGTTTGACTCACTCTGAATCTCTAGGAACTGGCTGAAAGAGCTGCCTGCCGATGGATGTCAGCTTCTTCCCTTTGGGGAAGAAAACTCCTTTTACAGGGTGCAGGAGTAGAGCTCAAATCACCAGGATTTAAGTACTGTTTCTACCCTCTGCAGGAGGATGTCAGATCTCGTCTGTGCATGAAAGGGGGATGCCTTCAGGGGGTGTTCAGACTTACAGGATCTGAGCTCTTTTCTCCTCCCTGCCAAAGGAGTTCAACTCCTTTCCACTTATGGAAGGGGACACCTTTGGGTGGGGCGCAGAAACCAAGCTCGTATCTTCAGGATCTGAGCTCTTTTTTTTCCCACCCTGCCAAAGGAATTCAGCTCCCCTCAGCAGGCAGCTCTTTCAACAGACCCCAGAAACAAGAGGGGAATCCTCTCAGCAAGTGGCAGCAGCTGCCAGCCTCCTCCACTCCACTGACTTTTCCGAAAAAGCTGCCTGAGATTGCGGAACAACTGGGCAACCCATAAGTGCAGTCCCCCAAGTCACAACCATGTGAGCATGATGCAGGCAGCGTGACATTTTACGACAGCCTGAAGCACCCTTTCCAAGGCTGTTGTAACTTTGAACATCAGCCAGTTGTAACTTTGAACATCAGCCAGTTGTAAGTCAAGGACTGTCTGTAATAGATGATATTCATGCTGTGTACTTATTTAAACTTTTAAGAAACAAGTAACTTTGAAGATGTTTAGTTCTCCTCTGAAAGATATTGGGGCTCGCAGCAGGAGGCAGCTGTATTCTGCCATTCCCTCTCCATTCTCTCTCCTTCATTCTTCCTCCAACCATGGCAAAAGCAGCTCCCTGAACCACACTGTACTCAGTTACAGCTAACCAAAGAACATCTGTGGAGCAGGAAGCTAGATAAACTGTCTTGGTGGTTAATCTTCTTGCATTTGTGCCTAGACTCCCATTTCTGGCTTTGTAGTTTACATTCCCGTCGTTAGGTTTTGTCCTTTGCAAATAAAGCTTTTGCTTACCAAAACCATTTTGTGTTGTTTTCCTGTTTCAGGATTCTGGCAAAGATGGGGATGACAGTTCAACTCAGGAAGATGAGGGCTTTATGGGAATGCTGCCTCTCCTCCAAGCCCACCATGCAATGGAGAGAATGGAAGAATTTGTATGCAAGGTAAGGTGTTGTAAAGCAAAGGGGCATCATGCACTAGTGAGCTTTGCACAGTTTGTGGGTCCCGTGGCTAGCAGTGCATGCCCTTCTGGCAACAAAAAAGGTAAGTCACCGTAGGTGGCCATCAAGAAGCTGCTGTCATTTGGGTGGTTATTTTAGTGGGTGTATCTTCAGATCTCATGCCTTCCATAATTGGATAAATTAGAAAGCTTAATATGAGGGGGATTACAAGTAGAAATGCGGGATTAAACATGTGGTACAACTGTTGAATCTCCTTTTAGAAACATCTGCAGAAGTCCACGCAGAATAATACTCTCTGGTTCACATGTTTCTGGGTCACAGGACTTCAATGTACAGGGTCACCTTTCCCTCCCCTCGCTCTTTCCTTTAGAAATCCTTGCAGATCTTTTCAAATTACCATATGCCTCTTTTGTATTGGAATCTCATTGTCTCCACAGTACAAAAAATAAAATCCAAATTCTATTGAATTGCTATCTTAGGCAAATCTATTGTATAATCCTGGGAGCCATTACTTGTCTATTTCAAGGGAAATAGTTCATACGATATAGTAGCCTAAATGCGATGCAACTATTCTTAATTTCAGAAGTAAAACAACAGAGGAATTTTGTCCTTGTTTTGCATTTCTGTACCTGCATCAGTGGAATGAGAGGTTTAAAAACCTAGTTATCTTAACACAAATTCTATTAAAATTTAATCCCAATATAGAAATGTAGCAGAGAAATCTGATTCTTACTTTTATCCAGCATCATAACTATTTAAAACATTATCATATATTTGATTCCTGTTTGGGAGGAACCACTTTTGTGTTTGTTGAATAAATTGGATGTATTAGGTTGTCATTGATTTCATGCATTATATATATACCTCTATTATAAAGACTTGCAGCCCAGTGAGATATCTGCATGCTTATTTTTTCATTCCTATTTTTATTACCTACCTAATGGATATTGTGCAAGAACACTTCCTTTATGGGAAAGGATTTCACACAAAGCAACATTCTAGCCATTGTTATTATAGCACATAACTTGTGCATAGATTCTAGAAATAATAAATATTTTTCAAAATTTGCATAGCATCCTCCATTGTGAGCCCTTGAGCGATGTTAGAAGATGGAAACATGCAGAGTAGTAGAGCTTGGTTTTGAGCAATAGCAATAGCACTTGGATTTATACACTGCATTACAGTGCTTTGCAACCCTCTCTAAGTTGTTTATAGAGTTAGCCTATTGGCCCCAACAATTTGGGTCCTCATTTTACCCATCTTGGAAGGCTGGAAGACTGAGTCAACCTTGAACCTGGTGAGATTCAATCTGCCAAATTGCAGGTAGCCAGCAGTCAGCAGAAGTAGCCTGCAGTACTGCATTCTAACTACTGTGCCACCGTGGCTCATAGTAGTTGTGTTCTACAGCTTTTCTACAGCTCTTTTTGATACAGCTCAGGAATCATCCTGTTTTCTAATTTCATATGGAAAATAAAATGCACATATATGGATACATCATATATGTCAATTTCCTGTAGCTCTGTTCCATCACACCATGATCCAGAGTGTAACTTCATATTACTTCCTTCAGGTATGGGAGGGCCGATGGCGTGTCATTCCCTTCGACGTCTTGCCCGATTGGTTAAAAGACAACGACTACCTGTTGCATGGGCACCGGCCACCCATGCCTTCTTTCCGGGCTTGCTTTAAAAGCATTTTCAGAATACACACAGAGACGGGCAACATCTGGACGCATCTACTAGGTATGGAAACGTTAAAACTTTCCTTATAGTTCCTAATGTTATAATAGGAATGAGAAGAATGTAATAAGCCACTCTGTGGTAATTCTATGAAAATAAATAGTTTTGCTCCAGCATTAATTTTTGTTGACTTGAACCCGATGTTCTGATATGTACAGCTCAGCTAGCATGTCGTAATACGCTCTTCTGCCCAACTGTGGCTGGTAACAAGATTGTTGTTGACCTGCCTGAATGCCACTGTTGATGGACTAGATCCATGTGAATAGTGGTACTCATTTTAATTAGGATCCCCTTACCCTTTTCTATGATAGCATCCAACCTGTCCATTGTATGGTTCCTTTAACAAGCTTGAGTTACAATGTCAAACTGGAGGTGGTTCTTTTTAGCTATCAGTATTGTCTATTGCATCAGATGAGTTTGTTTTCCTTGCATTCATCAAACTGCTGAATCAGGATTTCTGGCTCCAGGCTTTGACATGGGGTATCTGAGTTGCAGTGATGCAGACCAATATTATCCATTGCAACTCTCTGTATTGCCTTTGGAAGTAGCTTAAATTACCTTCGCTTCCTGATCATTGGGACTAATGTTAAGCTAGCAATTACCTTGAATTACCATTGCAGTCAGTATATACTACTGATCTGGAACAAAACTTGATTTGCTGACATTTTTAAAGTATGTAAATTACAACTATTTTACTTGGCAGGTTCTGCTTGAGTCAAAGTACATCTGCTCCAGGCCTTAGTGACGCACTGATAATATCTGTGTGTCAATGCCACTTTCAGTGTGTAATTACACTGAGCTGAACCTAAATCTGGCTTTGTGTCAGGTCACTTGTTTTGTTTGGACTTCATAATCCTGCTAAAATGTTTCATGCAGCAAGATTAACCCTGAAAAAGGAAGGGAGGACTGTAAGCAGGTATTAGTTTGCAAGAGCCAGAAATTCTAGCAGGGTAGACTTGAAAATCTGGAAAGAGCAGTTAGCATTGTTATGAATGTATTGGAGAATGTTAGCCAATCTTTGCCTCTTGTCAGAAAATAAGCCAACAGAAAGTAGCTCAAACATAAGGTCGATGGTTTAGAGGCAATGTTTTGTGGTTGTGCCCCCTTTGCCCACCTTCTAATAACCTTGTCTTCTTTTGTCCAGGATGTGTGTTCTTTTTGTGTTTGGGGATCTTCTACATGTTCCGGCCAAATATGTCCTTTGTAGCACCTGTTCAGGAGAAGGTGGTGGTTGGAGTGTTCTTCTTGGGAGCCATCCTTTGCCTTTCCTTCTCATGGCTTTTTCACACAGTTTACTGCCATTCAGAAGGCGTTTCTAGGCTCTTCTCCAAGTAAGCATTTTAATGATTAACTGTGAGCTTAAAAACCCCTAGTTTGCCCCTATTTTTAGGTCTGGGCAAGGGGAAAAGACTGAAGAAATTGGCTACATTTACTGATTTGATGTACGGGGGATGGATGGATGGATTGGTGGGTCAATGTATATAAACCCTTTTGAAAAATAGTAGTGCATTGTATGTACATAGGTGGTCCTGTAAGTGACTTACGACAGGTCACTTAGCAAACACTCAAAGTTACGACGGACTGCCCCAAAGCTACTGATGACCAGGTTTCAAAGTTAATGACAGCTGTGGCACCCCTGAAGTCACTTGCTCTTGTAACCGACTGAGTGGGTGCTGCAGTGCTCACCCACCCAAGGTGGCACAGTGGTTAGAATGCAGTACTGCAGGTTGCTTCTGCTGACTGCCAGCTGCCTACAATTCAACAGTTTGGCTCAAGGCTGACTCAGCCTTCCATCCTTCCAAGGTGGGTAAAATGAGGACCCAGACTGTTGGGGGCAACATGCTGACTCTGTAAACCGCTTAGAGAGGTGAAGCACTGTGAAGCGGTATATAAGTCTAAGTGCTATCCCACTGGAGCCACTTATCCACCCAAGGGAGATCAGGTGGCTCTAGCGAGTGTGAATCAGTTGGACTTTGCAGCAAAGTCCTTCCCATCCAGCAAGCCAGGGCAGGTCAACAAGTTGGAGTATGCAAACTCCATCAAGTGAAGGGAGGTCAGGTCCGCTGGAGTTTTGCAAGCCGCCTCCAGCTTTCTTCTTACCCAAAGGACTTGCAGCGCTTAGCCTGCTTCGGAGCCCGGCAACACCCAGCCTACTTTTCTGTTCTTGCAGCATCTGAGAGAGGCACCCAGCCCAAGATCCACATTCTTACAGACCTAGCCTTGTGGCAAAACAGGTGTTATTTTCACGAACTTGTAGGGGGCTCCCTTTTTAAGGAGGTTCCATAAACTGCACAAAAACAAACAAAGATGGAGCTTCCTTAAAAAAAATGGAGCTCATTTAAAAAAAAAAAAAAAGAACACAGTATGGTGAGAATAGAACCTGTTGCAAAATAGCAGGATTTTGCCAGGAGACTGGGTCTATTAAGAAACGGATCCTGTATCAGGTCAGGTGCCTATCTCAGAAGCTGAAAAATACGAAACAAGTGGGTTTTGCTGGGCCCTGGAAAAGGCTGAGTCCTCTAAGTCCTTAGGTGGGGTCTCCCCTTGTTCACTGGAGGCCAGCAAATGCTGACTGGTCCGACCTCCCTTGCTTGCTGGGTGGAAAGAAAGCTGAAGGACTGCTGAGACCCTCCTGGCAAGAAGGGGAGTCTAGGGTACTTCATGGAGTGGGTACAGCCTTGGTAGGTAACCCTGGGCCTGTGTAGTCCTCCCACCCCCAAGTCACCCTATGCTCCATTTAACAGCTCTCACATTCGTTTAACATTTAAGAGCCGTGGTGGTGCGGTGGTTAGAATGCAGTATTGCAGGCTAATTCTGCCGACTGCCAGCAGTTTGATACTCACCAGGCTCATGGTTGAGTCAGCTTTCCATCCTTCCGAGGTGGATAAAATAAGGACCGATATTGTTGGGGGCAATAGGCTGACTCTGTAAACCACTTAGAGAGAGCTATGAAGCGGTACGTAAGGCTATTGCTATTATCATTTGCAACAGGGAGAGCAAATAATGGGGTCATTGTGAGGCCATTTCGCTTAACGACTGTCGTGATACACAGCTGTAATGGTCATGCTCCATTATAATCATATCTCAAAGACTACTTGTACTGAATTTCTTAGGGCCAAATAAGGAAGCCTTCACAAGCTGAAACACTTTCCCTGTTTGGGAAGGTCTGCAAAAGTTTTGTTTCATGAATCAATAGCAATAGCAATAGCACTTAGACTTATATACCGCTTTGTAGTGCTTCACAGCCCTCTCTAAATGGTTTACAGAGTCAGCTTATTGCCCCCAGCAATCTGGGTCCTCATTTTACCCACCTCGGAAGGATGGAAGGCTGAGTCAACCTTCAGCCTGGTGGGATTCAGTCTGCCAAATTGCAGTAGGAGTAGCTTGCGGTACTGCACTCTAACCACTGCGCCACCGAGGCTCCTCAGTGGACTATATGTGCCTTACATTTAAAATTTACAAGCCAGGTGAATACAGGTCTCCAGAATTGTTCTTTCCTATACTTTCACCAGTATCCAGAATTTATTTTCAGGATGCAATTGTATTACAGATAAGATCAGGCGTGGTTCTTATTGCTTATAAAGTTAGTTGCATCAACACGATGAAAGGTGTGAAATCGAGCAGACGAGGATGCTGGAGGATGTGAAGTTCTCCTCAAATGACTTTTTCCACCCTCCTTTGTCTTAGGCTGGACTATTCTGGGATTGCTCTTCTCATTATGGGCAGTTTCGTCCCATGGCTTTACTATTCTTTTTACTGCAACCCTCAGCCCTACTTCATCTATCTGATTGTGATCTGTGTCCTGGGCATTGCAGCCATTATAGTTTCACAGTGGGATATGTTTGCAACCCCTCAATATCGAGGAGTACGAGCAGGTGAGGTTTCTTTGCAACATATATTGTATGTCGGAGGTGGAAGGAAAACTTGAACTCGCATTAATGATACTGTACCCTTTGAAATTACACAATGCAGTTGTCACTTAGATTTGCATAATGTAACATTCCAGGCATGTCTGTTTCTGTAGCAGAAGGCCTTGTGACAATGTTAAAACACCTGTTAATGGCCTATGAATATCACTTCACACGCACATAAATTGTTATCAGTCCCTAATCTGATATTTTGGGGTGCATGAGTTAAAACCAAACCCCCAAACACGAAATGTTAACTGTGGGTAAAGCTGTCAAATTGGTTACTCTTTACAAACATTTAAGCCAAAATATATTTATTTGTGAAAATATCACAGGATTGTTTTTCCTGCCTTGTGTGTTCTAATTGTGCCCATTATTCAGCATTTTGTGTGTGAGACTGTCAGCTAAGAAACCCAGCCACTGATGTCCAGCCTATCTGATGAATCGGGACAGGTGAAAGCCTGCCTAATCAATGGCCATGGGCATAATTTCTGGCACTGTCTGAATAGTTGGCGAATTACGGTAGATGTGAGATATTTAGATTTAAGACACTTCAAAGATTCCACGTGCTCAGCAAAAATACTAGCTGGTGATTTTGGGGTGAGTCTTCTGGGTATTAAGACTAAAATTAAATTTATAAAATTTTGAAAAGAGAACATGAGTTATCTGATTAAAGTTATGGTTGGTTACATTAATTTTAAGAGGTGTTCATAATAAAACTGTGAATAAAGTTATTTTGGACTTGGTATTTTAAGTTTGTACGTGATATTGGATACAGGCTACAGTTGCATGTAACACAAAAATAGGTTTAGTACTATTTAAGGGGAAAAAATGTCAAAAATTACTTAATTTTATCCATTTATAAAGATGGTCTATATTTTTTTGGCCAGAGTTTGTGTTACAGTAGAATGCTTCTGGTTCAATAGCAAAGCAGACTTCATTGCTAGTTTAATAATGTAAGTTAATATAAGTTAATATTCTACCACAATGGAAGCTCAGGGCTTCTCCAGCTTCTTTCTAGTAATAATGATAAACCGTGGTTTTCATTCCTCTGTTATGACAGACAGAAAAATACTCTTCTAATTGAAGTTATAACTAGAATGATCAGGAGAACCCCTTTATAGGTAGTCCTCAACTTACGACTTAGTGACAGTTTGAAGTTATAAGGGAACAACCCTGCCCCCCCAAAAGATGTTTACAATCTGGATTCAAAGTTCTGACTGCCACGCCTCCCCCACCTCTCCCGGGGTGATCTCATGTTTGCCTTTACATACATCGGGTTGTGCTCTGTGGTCAATCTGACTGCAATTTTCTTTTTTGGCTGGGAAGCAGCGTTTGCTTAAAGTTTCTCGCAAAAACCTCCCATTGTGGACAGTGGGTCCACTTAACAACTGCGGCATTTCGCTTAATGACCACAAAAACGTTTTCAAAGTGGATCAGCTACATCAGGACCCTTTCAACAGCCAGCACAACTTATGGCTGTAATTCTGGGCTCAATTATGGTCATAAGTCAAGAACTACCTGTAATTAATTGGAACAATTAGCCCTATCAGGTCAGGAAAGCCTTTAGACATTAAAGAGCTTTGGGTGCGTTTTTCTTTCTTTCGAGACCCTGAATTTTAACCATATGATCTCATGTTCACTTTATGATCCCTTTTATATGCAAGGTTGAATCTGATGCCCTTCCTTTGTCTCCTAGGAGTGTTCCTGGCCCTGGGCCTTAGTGGTGTGATTCCCACCCTGCACTTTGTCATCTCGGAAGGGCTCATCAAGGCCGCCACCATGGGGCAGATAGGATGGCTGGCCCTCATGGCCTGTTTGTACATCACTGGCGCTGGCTTGTATGCTGCTCGCATCCCAGAGAGATTTTTCCCGGGCAAATGTGACATCTGGGTAAGCGTAGCTATGAACTGCCAGGCATAAAGCTGTGAGGCAGTTCTAGCAGTGCCTCTGTTTAGTTCTGTGGTGAAACAGAGGCTGATTAGGCTGTTGAAAGCCACAGCACCTAGCAAACTCATTGGCTTTCCAGAAATGGGGGGTGGGGGGAAATATCTCAGTGTTCACTCTCAGAGACTCTCAGAGTGGCACGTGGGCTCTGGAAATGCAGCTTTCTGACCTAGCTGTTCAGAGCAAATTTGCCCTTCTCTTCTTAAGCCTTGAACAGGTGCAAATTGCCACTTGAGGCTTTACTGGGCTCAAGGACATGGAACAAGGGAGTTTCCTAGCAAATAAATTATTTGTTTGCCCCTTAGCAGGCTAGTCCTGTTTCTAGGAGCTTTGCAAGACTGCTGTTATCATTTGGTGCTTGTTCTGGGAGGGGAAAAAACTTCGTTTTCTAACAGTGCCCTTTCTCTCTTTCTTTCTCTCTCTCTCTCTCTGTGTGTGTTTTTTTCCCTCTCTTGTAGTTCCACTCCCATCAGCTCTTTCATATTTTCGTGGTGGCTGGTGCTTTTGTGCACTTCCATGGGGTTTCAAATCTTCAAGAGTTCCGTTTCACCGTTGGGGGAGGCTGCTCAGAGAACGAGATGGAGTAAAAACCCGTCCCCGGTTGAGGATCATAACCAAAACTGAACCATGGGAGCAGTCAATCTACACTTCTCCTACAATAGTGTGGAAGCTTTGCAGGGAATCTTAAGTATAAGATGGGAGAAATATTCATACCTCAAACAATGGAGTGAATTGGTTCTGAAGACGTGGACATGCTTAAATCTTAACTTATTCCTGGGATCTGCAACTGAAGCAAGAAAAAAACAACCCTTTCTTAAATCAGCTTACGTTCAATGCCGTATTTATTTGTAGAAAATAAGAGAGGTTATCTTGGGGAAGAGCTTGGCAATTTTTTCTTTTCTTTTTTTAAAATCTAGCTTAGTTAAGATTTGTATCTTGTTCGGGTAAGTTGATTTTTAGATGCCCTTTTGGGAGAAAAAAAATGTAAATAAGATTTCTAACTTTCTGTTTGATTAAAAAGTTTCTATAAATGTTTTAAAAGGGGGGAGGGAGATGGATTTTTGTATTGGTTGTAACATGCAAGTACCACACACTGTTTCTATTTTGCACAAATTCTTAAAACGTGCAGGAAAGCTAGGTGAAACTCCTAAAATCAGGCATCTGGATCCTGTAGGTGCTTCCTAATTCTGGTGTATACTGATTGGCTCACTCCAGGGGACCCAGTCCGCTGCCCACACCACAAGGCCCGAGAGCAACGAAGCGCTTAAAGATCAGCCTGCTCAGAAAGTGGAGGCAAAAGGCACCAAAAGGCCTTCTAAGCTCTCCCCTGGAGTGGTTTTTTTTTTTTTTAAAAAGATTCCTTCATTGGCCTTTTGCTACATAGGGGTTTGATGGCTTAAGGTACAATGTGGCATATATCCTGACCTTTTGGGGGGTCTCTCATCAGTGTTTCACCATTCTTTTGGGCGTGCTGTTTTGTTTATCCAAGTGCAATTGTTGGGTACCAACCTTCTAGGTGATCTGGCCTGGGGTGGAAATGGACTCAAGGGGGATGGGAAGTACCCACAAGAAAGCAACTTTGTTTTTGTTTTATGTAAGAAGAAGACTGCCTGTCTATGTGTTAATGTGTGTATGTGTGTGTTGCTGTGTGACAGTAACACCACACTTGTCTGTATTAAATCCACTGAACTCTGCAGGCTGCAATAGTAACACTGCCATTCTTTTTCCTCTTTCTCCTGGGGCTTAGGACAATACTGTGCACTATTTTTAATAAGTGAAAAGCAAACAAACCCCACAGGGTAGACTTTTCCTCTGCTTGTTAAAGTAGTGCTTTGTGCCGGAGAGAAAATTGTGAGCGTTTTCAAATTTAATGGTATGAGGCCAGGAGTATTTGAAGAGGAGAGAGTTATGACGCAACAAAAACAGTCAACATGACAAGTGAGAGAAGAAGTATGTTTATTGCTGGTGAGCAATATTGAATCTAGACAGAAACATCTGAGCAAAATGCAGAATTCGTAGACTAGCCATTTGTCACACTGTAAGGACAAATAATTTAGCCTATAGCGAGTTATCAAGGATTGCTTGTGGGGCAACATAATTGGTTATGGTTTTAAAATGTTACATTTTTATAAAGAAATCCTTGGTCTTTCCCTTAGCTCTTCTTCTGAAATGGATTCCTCTTAAGTATTTAAACCTGCAGGAGGTGCTTAACTGGTTCTTGTAGGTAAATTCAAATACAGATGTGTTCTGGCTAGGATCATGATACTAAATACATACAGGTAAAAATCGCAACCTAATATATTTCATTGTGTTGATCCCAAACTGAAAACAGAACAGTATTAACTGAATCCCTTCAATCAAACTGGGAAACCAGTTATGAGAAACTTTGGAGTTTTGTGTTTATGGAATCAGCTGGTAAAAGGATAGTTTATCTAAGGTGGGGAAGTGGTAATACATATCACACCCAGGATTACTGTTTGAGAAGCACTTTTAGGAGTGTATCTCTGTATATACTAGCAGAGAATATATCTCCCTACTCTGGATTATCCATGCTCACTCTGAATGTGGCACTTGCAATCCAGCCCAACAGCACAGAATACAACCTGTACAGAACGCACCATTTTGCTGCCCTTAACTTCCGATCTTCCCGTTGAAGATATTTTGTGTCCCAGTATGAAAACTGCATAGCTGCGCACTTTTTCCGTGGTGCTTGCTGAGACTTCCTCCCAGGTTGGCACCTGAACGCCTTACTCTCTCAGCAACTGGAGGTTCGCTTTGCTTTCTTTAGGTGTGTGTGCAGGGTTCAGCCTAGCATAGTTGAGATATACAGCTCCCCCCATTAACTAGTGGCCTTGTTCAGTATTTTCATTTCTAATTGCTCACTGTTGAAGGCAACAAAGCACATCTTGGATTTTGAAGATTGGGGGGGGTGGTGAGGGGTCTCCAGCCAATGGGATCCAATTACTTGTTGTATTCTAAACTTCTAATAAAAAGAACAAATGTAAAACGGGATTGGAGTTTTGCTTTTGCTGTTGTTGTTTTCGTGCCAGTATAAATTATCAGAGGTAACTGCATTTGTAATTTAATACTCACATACACTCCCATTCAGGTAGTCCTCGACTTATGACCTCAGTTGGGACCTGAATTTCTATTGTAAGTTGTTGTGATTGTGTGTGCCAGGATTCCAGCAGTTACTCCAATTAAATCATGAGCCTTGAGCCACACTCCTAAAACTTCTTTGGATTTATTAGAAGTTAACATGCCGGCATTTGCCTGGGTGTAGCCGACTCTGAGATATGTAATTCACTGCCACCCTTGATCCTGCTTTCCCCCCCACCCCTCTGGGTGTATCATCCAACAAAACATGTCCATAGCCAAGAGTCATCAATCATGCTCTCCAATTAGATTTTTGCACGGCAGAAGCTTCAGTCATCTAATCAGTCTCTGAAGAAAATATGAATGGAATGTACTTTCAATTCCACATTGCTGCCTGATCTTTGAAACCCCCCCCCCCCCCCACGTTGTAAAGCGTGTATACAATATGTTTTATGAGTTGACATTCGGCTCCCCTCACTTCTTGAAGGGAATATTGACTGTGACAATTTTGTGACAATTTTTATAGTGGTTATTAAGTGAATCCAGCTTCCCTAGTGAGTGGTTTTGTTTTGGGTTTTTTTGCTGAAAATTGGCAAAAAAAGGTTGCAATTTGTGAACGCATGACTGCGGGAAGTTGCAGCTGGTGAATGTGAGTTGGTTGCCAAGTGCCCAAATTGCAATCATGTGACTACGAGGATGGTGTGACAGTTATAAGTGCGAGCAAGGATTCTGTGCCACTTTTTCCAGAGCCATCCTAACTTTGAACCATCAAACAAGTGGTCATAAGTCAAGGACTACCTGAATGTATCAGGTAACTTAACCTGAGATCTTTTGAGTGGTTGGTTTAATATCAAGGGTAAATACTGAAAGTCTATGGAGATTCTCAGTTATCCAGGTCATGGTTGTCCCAAAGGTGCTTTTTCAAGAGGCAACTGGATGTTCCGGTTTTTCTTTGAAGACGTTTCATTTCTCATCGAAGAAGCTTCTTCAGTTGTTCAGAGTTGAAAAAGCAGCTTTGGGGTAAATATTGAAAGTTCTAGGATAGATTTTCCACTACTTAGGATATTCTTTTAATATGACAACAACCTGAGCTGAAGAAACAGCATCATATCACAGCAACTCATCTATTGGCCATTCAATTCACAAAATTAAATGTATGCCTGTTGGATCAGAACATGAAATCTTAAAGTCAAGTATGATTCGTGATGACTTCATGCCTACAAAGTTTCCTTGGTATGATACAAAACAACCAATACCTGTGCTAGTTTCTCCCCCCCTCCCAACTTCCCAGTCTAGTCTGGGATTCCCTGGTGATCTTTCATATTAGTGAGACCTGACTTTGCTTAATCCTAAGCATGGATAAAATTAGCTAAATGCTTCAACAAGCCCAGATCCATCTTAAATTACTTCATTCCTAGTCTACGTCATAATGGAAACAAACATCTGAATCTGTTTTGCATTCTAAGTTTCTTTACAACTATCTAGGACAGGGGTGTCAAACTCAAGGATGCTTAAATCAGGCCTGTGGGGCCGGCCGGGAAATAGCAAAGGACCAGCCTGCGGTTCCTCTGACAGAAAAAATGGGGCATGGGGGGGGGCCTCTGTGAGACCCCTGCACATTGTTTTGGCAGGTGGGGCTGCAGGAGGCTGTCCAGGCCGAAAACTGGGCAAAAGGGGCCTCGCACGCCTCCCATGCCCCGTTTTGATCGGCAGGGTGCTGCAAGAGGCCGTCCAGAATGAAAAAGGTGGGTGGCCCTCGTGTGGCCCCCCCGTGCTCCGTTTTGGCACGCTGGGTGCTGCAGGAGGCGTTTCCCCCCACAAGCCGGCCTGTGGAGTACTGCAATGCTGATCTGACCCTTGAAGAAATCCAGTTTGACACACCTGATCTAGGAGATCACCATCTTTGGCTTTTTCTATATTAAACAACCATTTCCATCAGCCTCAGATAATATAATGAGTACTATAAGATTATGGAGATTCGCAGTTCATCAGAACAACCACCCATCCAGAGTCGATTTAACAAAACTATTTGATTTAAAACAGGGCGGAGTTGATTTAAAAGGGCAATATTATGAAGCTAAAGTACAGCCACCAATGTGACTAAGGTTGGGGGGGAGGTGTCTTTCCAGTATTATTCTATTATAAAATTTTATAGCCCCTTCCCCCCTCAAAAATAAAGCAATGATGATCCAACATTGTAATACAGTATAGTGAAATGGTTACGAGATCTGATCCCGGTCAAGATAGAAGCTTAAGCGTATATATTGCTCGGAATTGTCTGACAATTGAAAATAATGATTTTCCAACTAAACTGGGATGCTACTAGCAGAATTCCCCCCCCTCCTCTTGTTCTTCTTAGCAACATGATAAGCTTGGCTAGGTTGAATAGTTGAACAGGCTACACTGAGTATGATAGATACTGTGTGTTAACTTCATTTGAAGTGGTGCTGAATCTAATCTTTCTACCTATATTAGACTTGCTCAGAGAATGTAAGTATGAAGTTACCAGGAAATCTTTTCATTGTTAATAGTGGTGTTTTTTTTTGGGGGGGGGGGATCAAATATAAGTGGATTGATACAAATTGTCATGAAAGGCTGGTTATTATTGCCTTAAATCCTGTAGATATATTTACTGAAGATTATGCAAAACCATATTAATTTGAAACTAAAGTAGGCTTTACAAATAAACAAGTATTGTCTGCCTTTTAATTCGTTCAAGAAGGCCTTTTGTTTTAGTTAGACTGTATTTTGTACCTTTCTTCCTTTTTTTAGAACAGCAGGTTAAAATAATTGTCTTCCTATTATGCTAAAGTGGTGAAGAGACCTATGCGTCACTTACTTTTCTGAAGATTTTAAAACCTAGTTTATAGAACCATTTTTTATCTGTGCTGAAGTTGTTAGGCTGCCTCTTGAGACACTTGGGCAATAAATAAATAAATAAAAATAAATGAATGCTGTTACAGTAACGTTTAAAAAATATGAATGGTCTATGCAGGACAGTTGGCCTCATAAGACTAATTCTATGATGTAGCTTTTTTCAGAGATTATAAAAGAAAACTATGCCAAAGCTATATTTGAATTGGAGTTGGAAGAATAGATGCATTAGTACAGATTGCCTTAAAAGAAGACGGTGTTCTATGGAAGAATGACAAATTAGCATGATGTGTGCATGTTCCAAGGTCAACTGATGTGATATGGAGACTTTATCTTTCTGTTTAAATATTCTAAAATGGAAGGAACTGTACCTTCATGAAAAGAACATTTCCAAAGTCTGTGTCTATGGCAATAGAGCACGGATCTTCAAACTTGGCAAGGTTAAGACTTGTGGACTTCAACTCCCAGAATTCCTGAGCCAACATGACTGGAGGAGGGATTCTGGGAGTTGAAGTCCACAAGTCTTAAAGCTGTCAAGTTTGAAGACCCCTGCAATAGAGAGTAGGTAAATTGCTTATATCTAGGTCAGTGATGGCAAACCTTTTCAGCACCAAGTGCCCAAAGAACGCACACCGCACATATCCAAAATGTGTGTGCACCTGCATGCATGCGCCCCCCCACGTGTGTATGCCCCCATGCATGCCCCCTGCTCCCGTGCAATGCACCCTGCCTCATGCATGCACCCCAGGTATGCGACACCCCCCCCACACATGTGTGGCAGAGACCCGAAGACCATCTGGCCAGCAGGAGGCATGCCTGCATGCATGGCAGAGCTGGGGCGACAGCACGTGTGCCAACAGAGAGGGCTCTGTATGCCACCTGTGGCGTCTGTGCCCTAGGTTCGCCACCACAGGTCTAGGGTCTCTGAAAGAAGGCTTTAAGTTAGTGATCTGAAGTCCATAGCCATGCCATAACTCCCTTCATGCTTCTCCTGTCTGGACCTTGTGGGTTTCTTGTCAAATACTGTTGCCTACTAACTGATCATTCCTAACAATAGTTCTAGAACCAATTAACATGCTTGAAGGTGTCCATTAATATTAAAATATTCTTAACACTCAGTAAAATTTAGGCCATGTGAAGAAGAAAAAGAAAGAAAACACGCCAGTCAGATGTAACAGTTTGTTAGTGCTCTTTTTAATATATTTTTAGATGCGATCTTGCTGTTATCCTGTAATTTTCGCTGCTTGCTGTTCAGTATTGAAAATGTTTTATTACATCTTTGAGTGAGAAAGCAAGGAAACACTATAAAATCTTTCATTTATTTAATGTACAGTATATGCCAGCCATCTCACTACCCAGAGTGACTGATTTGGACGCAATTCCACCCCCAGTCACACGCAAAGGTTGGGTTTGTGCAACCATTTCCTGAAGGGGAATTTACATATCCATGTGTAAGGGAAGTAATGCACATTAGTAAATAGTCCGATTTATGGTTGCTTCGGCATCGACTTAAAAATAATCCTTTGTGCTTGTCAACATGACCATGCAATATATAGTACGAACATTACATGGTGAACAGGATGTGTGTGGAAGCAAAACAAAACACACCGTCTCACAAATTTCTTTTGGGGAACTTATTAATCAAAAAATTAGATTCTAGCACTGAGGAGGAGGTTGGATTTGATAAAAATTTGGGAAGTAAAAATTTGGTAAATAGCTTCCCAAATTATGATCTCCTAGTCCTCCTGATGGTGCTTTGTAGGATGATGATTTACTTCTCATCACTCACATTGAATTAAACTGACTTTTGTTTTGAGTCTCATAAAGTAAGAATATCAACTTTTTTGCTGTGTACCAACCTGGTACTTAGATTCCTACAGGTGAAATCTATAAATTTATAATCTATAAATTTATAAACTCTCAAGCAAGCATGAAAAAAATCGCTCATAGCTTCTTTCACAAAAGAAAACAGCTTCCAAAAGTAGAGAGTTTCTATATCTCATGGGCGCATCCTCTTAGATGTGCATCATGCCCTTAATTACTTCGAGGATTTATTATGTAGTCCTACCAATGAGGAAGTGTTTGTCCGAAAGGGAAAATAAATCTTTGGCATAAAGTGGCTGGCTGGAAGCAACAATATGATCTATTGTCTCATTAAACCTAGGCAGCCATCTAATGACCACAGTTTTTTCCCCCAAAAAATCATTTTTTAAAACATTGCCAAATCGAATGTGCCTTAATTTGTAAGTTCAGTCGGATCGTTACTAAATCTATTTCTGTAATTTATACAGGGAATCATAATTCTATAAAATGTTCAAGTGTTTAGAAACAAAATGTGAGCACCATAACTCTGGCGGAAAAATGCAATAGTTAAAAAAAAAAATCCAGAGCGTACATCACTGTCCTATCCTTGTGCCAAAAGTTTGGAGGCACAATCAATTCTCTCTGATATTCGTCAACTTTTTTGTCCAAATCTTTAAAATTATTTAGCCAAGCAAAAGGTAGTCCTCAACTCATGACTGGTTACTTAGCAACTGAAATTCTGACAGATCGACTTGATGGCAGTTCCAATGGCTGCTCCCCCACATGGTCACACATGGCCTCACTTTGGGTGCTCAACAATCAGCCTGCATTTATGGCAGAGTCAGGCGGTCAAGGGGATTATGAACAGGTAGTCCTCAACTTATAACAGTTCACTTAGTGACCGTTTGAAGTTACATTGGCACTGAAAAGTAACTTACCCCCATTTTTCACATGACCGTTGCTGGATTTCCAAGGTTGTGTGATTTACATTACAGGTTGACAACTCACTCACATTTATGACGGTTGCTTCTGACCTTCTGACAAGCAAAGTCAATGGGAAAACCACTTAACAACCCTATTTCGAATTTAAGAACTTCAGTAATTCACTTAACAAATATGCTGAAAAGAGTCGTAAAATGAGGCAAAATTCACTTAGCAAATTTCTTACTTAGCAACCTAAATTTTGGGCTCAGTTGTGCATTACAATGGTTTTGCTAAAAACGAGCATTCCTGTTTTCTGCAAAACCAGCCCATACTGGTTCACTTAACAACTGTGGTGTTAGACCATTGCAGAAAAGGTAATAACATTAGGCTGGTTATTTGACCAATCTGCTTTATGTCTTGTCACAAGTTACGACCATGACGGGCGAGCTCCATCGCAGTCATAACTTGACTACCTGTATTAGAGGCTTAAATCCAGTAGTTAGCACCTTTCTCCAGGTGGGGAAAGCTAATTCATTACAGTCTCTATATACCCTACAGCAGAGGTCCCCAAACTTGGCAACTTTAAGTCTTGTGGACTTCAAGTGGCTGGAGAATTCTGGGAGTTGAAGTCCACAAGTCTTAAAGTTGCCAAGTTTGGGGACCCCTGCGCTACATGCTAGGACAAAATCTAATAAACATCATTCCCCCATCACTACCCTTAGATGAACTGTAGAACTCTACTGTAGAGATGGGAAAGAATCAGTGGTTAGTTTTGTATCATAGTGATTGTCCTTCTTCTGTCCCACCTGTAAATACAAGGTAGAGCTAGGAAGTCCTTTAGGAGTGATGAGGTCAAGTTCTGTTTGAGGCCCATGTGAAAATAGCAGCCCAGGTGCAATGTAAGGACTGCCATGCACTTTGTCACCGCAGAAGAAGAGCTTCTGTTGCCAGCAGAAACAGGAGCAAAGTTGAGGAGGCTGAAATCGCTGCAGCTCCTCCACAATCTTGGGCATTTTCCTGAAAAAGAGAAGGCCCACAGGTGGTCAGCAACCTTAGTAGTCGGGTAGGATTGGCTCTATGGGAGATGAAGCAGACTTTATGGTAGTGTCATGTCCCTGTCAGAATCTGACTTAGAGGGGGAAGCTGAACAGCTGACAGGGAGTGAGAATGTGGCTCCATTGGCTGTGGAAGAAATTTGGGAAGGGCAAAGTCCGGGTGGACAGAGCAGGGTAGAGGTAGAGCAAGGGAGAGGCAATTCGGAGGAAGACCCAGGCCCACCCCCTCTTCATCCTAGGGCATGCAGGGAGGAATGGAGAAGGGAGCAACGTGAGTTGTGTGGCTTACGGGGGAGGAAAGGGCCCTGATTCCCTTCATTAGCTGCAGCTGGGAACACAGTATATAAAAGAGGAAGCTGCGCACAGCAAGTTGTTGGGAGCAAACGTGAATTTATCTGGTATCGTCGTGGCTTAACTGTGTTCCTGGCATCTTCCCAACTGTGTGAGTTTTGCCATGATTTCAAGTCTGAAATTCCTTCTCTTGCCTTGTCAGGTTAATTACTTCAGCTTGGTTTGTTTGGATTTTTAGTTACAGTTTGTATGTACCTTGTTTTGGACTGAATTTTCTACAGTTAAAGGCTGTTCCTGGGAGAATTTTTCTCCAGCCAAAGGTAACCTGGACATTGGGGGCAAAGTTGGAGATATAAAGGGACTCTTATTGCTTATTTGACTGTGTTGCCTTTGTTCCAGGCCCCGGGTCATCACAGGTGACAAGGGTATTGTTATACATATAATTCTATAATTTCTGCAAATTATTCCGTAACCGAAAGCTAACTGATCTTACCTCTGGATGGAATGCATGGCAAGTGTCTGGTCGGCGTCTTAGTTTCTGAGAGCGCATCCTGTCACATTTCACCGAACTGTTATGTACGCAGCTGTTAAGGCTAATAGCAGTGTTTGGAAGTGGAGGAAATAGGAACATCTTACTTAAAATATCTAGAGTCAGCAGATGCAGTGTTGGCCAATAATTTAAATTTGCGACTAAAAATACCAGCTGGCCTACAGAAATGTATTTCTATCACATACATAGCATTTCCTGATGCTCAAGCTAAACAGGAGGCTTCGGTCCATGTGGACAATATTGCAGCAATGGGAGAAGCCTACGCACAAAGTCTTGCCACAGGAAGAAGTTTTCCTAAATACTTTTCTGCCACCCCTGTTACTAGTTCCAGTTGAGATGAGCTGGAATTAGTGACCATGTTTTAACAAAAATATCCCCAAATCATACTGAAACCAACAGGAGTTCATAATAACCTATCCGGCCCACTTTATTCATCACGGCTTTTAGCTGGATTGAGGCAACCTTGGGGGTCTGCACACCCTGGGAACCTTCCTAGATAGGTAGCGGGCTGAGTGTTGAAAGCAATGGCTTTCACTTAGTCTTGGGACACAGCCTGCAAGTTGTTTTCCTCTTTATGCAGAACTTCACAACTCTAGGTTCTATCATATCACAAGACCTAAAATGGACACCTAACACCAAAAACGTCATCAAAAAAGCACAACGAAGAATGTTCTTTCTGAGCCAACTCAGAAAGCTCAAACTGCCCAAGGAGCTGCTGATACAGTTCTACAGAGGAATTATTGAGTCTGTCATCTGCACCTCTCTAACTGTCTGGTTTGGTTCTGCAAGCCAACAAGACAAACACAGACTTCAGAGGATAATTAGGACTGCATTAAAAAACAATTACTACGAACTTGCCTTCCATTGAGGACCTGTATACTGCACGAGTCAAAAAGTGGGCTGTGAAAATATTTACAGACCCCTCACATCCCGGACATAAACTGTTTCAACTCCTGCCCTCAAAACGACGCTATAGAGCACTGCACACCACAACAACTAGACACAAGAACAGTTTTTCCCCGAATGCCATCACTCTGCTAAACAAATAATTCCCTCAACACTGTTCAACTATTACAAAGTCTGCACTACTATTACTGTTAATCTTCCCATCACTCCTTATCACCCATCCCCTCCCACCTGTGATTGTAGGACTGTAACTTTGTCGCTTGTATCCTTACGATTTATATTAACTGTTTCCTAGTATGATTTGATTGCTTATTGTACCCTATGACTATCATTAAGTGTTGTACCTTATGGTTCTTGATGAATGTATCTTTTCATGTACACTGAGAGCATATGCACTAAGACAAATTCCTTGTGTGTCCAATCACACTTGGCCAATAAAGAATTCATTCATTCAACTTAAGTTTATCAGCTAAAGACCAGATGTAATGTTTCATGAGATACATTTTCTGCACGTTTTATCTTTTCTCACCAACACACTGGTTCAGGGTGAAAATTTCCAAGTTATCCTAAAGAGTTTGTCCCAACAGGTGAGAGCTGAACTTGGAAGCTAAGTCTTGAAAGCTAAGCAAGGTTGAGCTAGGAGGCTATTGCAGAATCCTAGAATAAACAATGATGAATTCTATATGAATTGTCAAGAAAACTTCATGGATGTGTGCATAAAATAGTTGGCAGGAGTCAAGGGAGTCTTTTAAAAAAATCCTTAGCATGCTGGTTCTGCTAAGTTCCCTGCAATTTCTAGGTAAGACTGGTAATATTTTTATTTTGGCAGTTGTACCAGACCATCTATAGCACTGTTTCAGATCACTATGGATTTCTGATCCAAAAGTTGAGAACATTGGCTTTACATATTGTGCCAATCAGAGGTGGTATTCAGCGGGTTCTAAGCAGTTCTGGAGAACTGGTAGCGGAAATTTTAAGTAGTTCGGAGAACCGGCAAATACCACCTCTGACTGGCTTCGTCCCCATCTATTCTCTGCCTCCCGAGTCCCAGATGATCGGCTGGGTCTTCTTTTGTTGCCCTACACAGGAAAATGGAGCTGGAAAGCAGGTTAGTGGGGTGGGGAGGGAATGGGATTTTGCAATAACCTTCCCCCAGGAGTGGGGTGGGAATGAAGATTTTGCAGTATTCTTCCCCTGCCACACCCACCAAGCCACGTCCTCAGAACCAGTAGTAAAAAAAAATTGAATCCCACCACTGGTGCCAATCCAACCAAGTAGTCAGACTACAATAAGTCATGTGGGTCCAGAAATATAGGTTAATTGAATAAATCCTGATTCTTGGGTAAAACTACAGTGCCAGCACAATTGATAAAGTAGCTTGCACATAGCAGTAGAGATAAAATCAAAAGCATCTTGCTTTTATTGTTGTAATTTCTAATATAACTACCTGTTATTTTATATCTCCACTGACTCCACAGATCTTTAAAATTAAAATTTTAAAGAGAATTTGGAAAACAGCAAGGCTTATTTTTTTCCACTTACCTTTGTAAAAAAGATTTATGGAATCTAGAAAAGCACACACCTTTTACGTTAACTAAAGTGTAACAAGCAATAATAAATTAATGTAAATAGCAACTAGCAATATAGTACTGTTTCGGTGTGGTGCGGTGGCCTAGAGGTGGAGCTCTCGCCTCACAATCAGGAGGCTGTGAGTTTGACCCTAGGTAGAGGCGGATATTTCTCTCTCTGGGCACACTGCAAATATATCTGCTGAAAGAAACTCCTCATTGGCAACAGGAAGGGCATCCGGCCAGTAAACACTCAGCTTCATTCAGTTGCCCAGACTCCACCCCGCAAGGGATTATGGGATCATTAAAAGAGGATGAATATGGTACTGTTTCGACTTCACTTTTTAACAGTACTGTTTTCACTCTACATTTAAACAGAAGCATGTTCTATTCATCCCTTCTAGAGTTATGAAGGAAAACGCTATTTGTACTTCGTTTGTGCTAATGAACTGCCAAAGAGTTACAGTACAGTACAGGGAATTGCCGGGGAAAAGATATATTTTACTTCTTTAGCCTGCAATGCAAAAGATGGGAAGATGCTGCAGTCACAGGTGGCATCAGTTACCAGGAGCACAAGGTTGCTGTTCATAACTTGCTGCGCCAAAAACATCCTGCAAGATTGAGAAGAACACCCACCCCCAAGAGACAGCATTACATTTTTTCCAAATATTATTTCTATTAAAAAATTTAATTGCAGTAGTAAAAACTATTACAAAGTAAACTTTTGAGAAAGAGAAGAGAATGGAAAGAAAGAATAGAAAGTGTAAGAAAAGAGAAAAAAGAGTGTGTACCAGTAGTTAAAAAAAGAAATTTTATAAGGCAGTGACATCCAACCTTCATCACAAGTATAAACAAATTTAATAACGCTTCATCTTCCATAAGGTTAAACAAATATGTCTTCAACAATTCAATTCTGGAAGTTGCAGTCCACAAATCTTGCCAAGATTGGACACCCTTGGACTAGATCAGGGCTGCCAAACTCGTGGCCCGCAGGTCAGAGGTGTCATACGCTGGCCACGCCCAGTTTAGCAAAGGAGGGGAGTCCCAATACGTCACGTGAGGCCACCGTGATGACGCAAATTTGACACCCCTGGACTAGAAACCCTTGTTGTATGCAATCCGATATCTCAGAATTAGTTGAAAAAGGGTAGTGTCATAATTTGCAAATGGTGGACTGATATTGCAATCGAAGCCCAGCCCACTTTGAACATGCATGGGCGTCCCTCCAAAATACGTAATGTTGGGGGTGGGGCTCAGATCTTGTTGCTATTCCCAAAATTCTTGTAGATTTTGATAGCCCCTTATTAGATAAATCGGCCTCATTTTTGATTTCCTATAACATGGGAACAGGAACTACCTCCCCAACATTACCTATATTATGAAGTCAGCAATGTTGTAGCTTCATTTCATTTTTTAGAGATGTTAGCTGGCTGCCTGCCTAACTTAGTCAATTATCAAATTGAATTCACCTGCTGTTAACAATACCTTGGACCCCTGTTGTGTCTCAAAGTAAGGAAAGCGAAGAGAAGGGGATAAAAAATTGGACCTCAAAGCTCTTTTTTATAGTCTTATGAGAAGAATGGATAATAAATTATTTTGAGTGAAGTTGATGGTTGAGCAATTAATTGTAAAGGGTTTATTAGGATGACTCGTGGCCAGTTTGTTATATATAGTCCAAGGAGCCTAAATGCTTTATTTCACTGACTTGTCTTTATTTGTTTTCTATAAATTACTTTCTCATATAACAGTAATGTTGTACAGTAGGTTGATAGACAAAGTTACAAGGTATTTGTAAGTTACCTCATGGAAGCCACAGTGCTCTGCTGCCCTCTACCGGCAATTTACAAGGTACAATTGAATCATGTGCTAAAATCTAGAGAAAGGGAGACCTTTAGTTTAATACTAAATGCCACCAAAGATTTTGTCCTGGGATCAGTATACTGGTGGAAGATTCATTTAAGTTTTTCTGAAGACCATCCTGCAAACAGTATTGGGCTGGTAACTTGATGTAAATTAACTGCTTTTTCTAAAACTAACATCTATATAAAAAGTAAAGTTCCCCTCGCACGTATGTGCTAGTCGTTTTTGGCTCTAGGGGGTGGTGCTCATCTCCGTTACAAAGCCGAAGAGCCAGCGCTGTCTGAAGACATCTCCGTAGTCATATGGCCGGCATTACTAAACACCGAAAACGGACGGAATGCTGTTACCTTCCTGCCAAAGTGGTCCCTATTTTTCTACTTACATTTTTACATGCTTTACCTGCTTTCAAACTGCTAGGTCAGAAGCTGGGACAAGTATCAGAAGCTCACTCCATTAGGTGACACTAGGGATCCGAACCGCCAAACTGCCGATCCTTCTGATTGACAAGATCAGCATCTTATCCAATGAGCTACCACGTCCCCTTAACATCTATATACCTAAGTGTTTTTTCTATCAGGGCAATCTGGTCTACCCATATATGGGACGGAGCATACTGCTTCCGCTTTCACTTTTCAACCCCAATCCAGGAGCTTTCAAAGGCAGTCACTTTCTTGACAAACTATTTTTGTGTTAAATATAAACTTAACACACACACACACACACATATATATACTAGTTTTGTAGCAGAAGTAACAATGCAATCAACTCAGGGCCATCCTGTTTCAGCCATTTCCTTTCAGACATCAATGCCACCATAGGTTATGGAGCTGCAGGGATCATGGAAGTGTTTTGGCAGAACGCCAGTCTGAATATAGGAGGCAATTACAGCAAGTCTCATTGATGGCCCTCAAGATGCTCATTAAACAATCCAGTCAAAAAAGACTCCATACCGAGGCAGTCACTGCAACTACAGGTAGGCCTTGATTTACAACCAGTTGCTTAGCAACAGTTCCAGAAGTGGTATTCAGCAGGTTCTGACCAGTTCTGGAGAGCCGGTAGTGGAAATTTTGAGTAGTTCAGAGAACCGGCAAATACCACCTCTGACTGGAGATTTTACAGTATCCTTCCCCTGCCATGTCCACCAAGCCAAGCCCACAGAACCGGTAGTAAAAAAATTTGAATCCCACCACTGAACAGTTCACAATTCCAATGGACTCCCCCAAAAGGACTTACGACCTGTTCCAAAGCTCTGATGGCCTCCTATCTGCTTCTAGTTTTTAGCAAAATTGGCACAAACAATGGGTTCGCTTAATGAGTATGATGTTTGCTTTAAAAACACGGTTCCTCAACAACCGCTTCAGAAAAGGTTGCAAAATAGGGTCAGTCACATGGGCGCTCCGCTTTACAGTCAGGCTCCATGATGAGTGTAAGTCGAGGACTACTAGTATCAGGCAGCTCCTTCTACTAGGCATTTGTGTTTGTGTGTCTGTATGTGAGCCTGTTTGTTAGTCTTTGGGGCAGCTGCACCATACTGGGTTTGTTCTTTTTCTAAAATAAATATTCATAAATTACTAGGGATCTTATCACTTTCATTCATCATAGCTCACAATATTTTTGTCCCTAATATGTTGCTCTTTACTTTTCTCTCCTAAGAGAGAGAAATCTTGATCAAACTTGTGGAAGTTCTCCAAATACATATTTTTTTCAAGCATTTCCAAGAAACTTGCATCTTCAGCCAACAGTTCTTCATCTTGGTTTCTCCGGGTGCCTTCCAACCTTTCATATCAACAGCATCTAACTAATCAGCTACTCACTTTCAAATATTTTCAGATTCTAAAAATGTTTTTCTTAAAACAAATTTAAGTGGGGATATGGCATGCTTCACAGGAAAGCATGGACTGTTCCAAGAAGATGGCAAATCGCTGGGTCAACAACTTTCATTTTTGAAGAATTGCTTTTCTTCATTTTCTAAGTATACAAATTTCGTTTATTGTTAAGATAGCAGATAAGATTAAAAATATCTATGTTTAACCAGTCTTATTTACTTTTGTGTCCCCCATCCTACAGTGGTGTTGAGTACTAAGCACTCCACCATGGGACTAAGCAATCTCACAAAATACAACAATTGCCAGATGGGTTAGAGTGTTTCTTATGAGAATTGAAATGATTGTGCTCGTTGTACAAGAACAGACTTACTGAGATTTCTATCTGTAACAAACCCCACAGAATTAAAAGACCTGAAAAATGTTTGATCTGATTCTAAAAAGGAAAGCGTTCCAATGTGGTCAGACCTACAAAGTAGACCAGACTATGAAACCCTATGAAACCAATCCCATGAACGTCAGGACTCCCTTCATTGGAACTGGTATAATAATAGTATATAATAATTATTAACCAATCCATCATCCTCCATTTAGAGACAAACAACCTACTCTCCAATAAACAATTTGGTTTCAGAAAAAAACTATCTTGTAATCTGCAACTCTTACACTGCAAAAACATATGGACTACACAACTTGACCAGGGCAAAGCAATAGACGCAATCTACATAGACTTCTGTAAAGCCTTTGATTCAGTGGTACACGACAAACTACTCCTAAAAATAAAATCTTATGGTATCTCTGGACAACTGAATAACTGGATAGAAGCATTCCTGTCAAACAGACAACAAATGGTCAAAATCGGGAACGCCCTATCAAATCCAGTACCTGTCAATAGTGGTGTTCCCCAAGGCAGTGTTCTAGGACCAACTCTCTTCATAATCTACATAAACGACCTTTGTGATCATATCAAGAGCAATTGCGTTCTCTTCGCTGATGATGTAAAGCTGTTCAATACCACAGACAATACTACTACCCTACAAAAAGACCTAGACTATGTATCTGAATGGTCTAACATATGGCAACTTCAAATCTCAACAAATAAATGCTCTGTCTTACATATTGGTAAAAAAAATCAGAAAATAAAATACAAGCTGAATAGTCAAGATCTTGTTGATGACCCAAGCTCTGTAAAGGACCTGGGAATACTCACCTCTAATGATCTAAGTGCTAGAGCCCACTGCAACTACATAGCCAAAAAGGCATTAAGAGTTGTTAACCTAATCCTACGTTGCTTTTTCTCTGGTAATATCTCACTAATAACCAGAGCATACAAAACATTTGCTAGACCAATACTCGAATACAGTTCATCAGTCTGGAATCCTTATTACGTATGTGATATTAGCACAATTGAGAAAGTCCAGAAGTATTTCACAAGAAGAGTTCTCCACTCTTCTACTCGTTGTAGAATACCTTATGCCACCAGACTCGAAATTCTAAAACTAGAAAACCTTGAATTACGCCGTCTTCGGTCCGACTTAAGCATGGTATATAAAATCATACATTGCAATGTCCTACCTGTCAATGAATACTTCAGCTTTAACCATAACAACACAAGAGCACACAACAGATACAAACTCAAAGTAAACCGCACCAAACTTGATTGCAGGAAATACGACTTCAGCAATAGAGTGGTCAATGTCTGGAATACTCTACCCGACTCTGTAGTCTCTTCCCCAAACCCCAAAAACTTTAACCTTAGACTGTCTACTATTGACCTCACCCCTTTCCTAAGAGGTCTGTAGGGGGCGTGCATAAGCACACCAACGTGCCTACCGTCCCTGTCCTATTGTTTCTCTTATTCTTTTATTTTTCTTATATGTACCCATTTCATATATTCACAACTATGTATACACTTGTACTTATTATCTTGTAAACAATTGACAAATAAAATAAATAAATAAATAAATAAAATAAATAAAATAAATAAAATAAATAAAATAAATAAAATAGTTGAAGATTGCAAGCCTGAATATGCTTCCTCCCTTTATGTGAACTAGGAAAGGGCTTCTCTGAGACATTTTCTCAAGTTACTTTCTTGGCCCAGACTCAAGCCTCTTTTATTGGATGTCTGTCTGTCTGTCCTATCTATCTATCTATCTATCTATCTATCTATCTATCTATCTATCTATCTATCTATCTATCTATCTATCTTTCTATCTACCTATTTATCTACCTATTTATCTACCTATTTATCTATCTATCTATCATCTATCTATCTATCTATCTATCTATCTATCTATCTATCTATCATCCTCTATCATCTGTCTAATCTCCTCCCTCCTTCCCCTTCCTCCTTCCTTACCTAATTTGTATGGCTAGACAGTAAACAAAATTTTAAAATATAAAAACAAATTAATATATACAAATACATAGTATCCAACAATAAAGTATCCATCATAATGATTAAATTAACCACTAAATGGGTCCCTGCACAAACTTGGGGCTCTACTTCCAGGCACAAGGCTGGGTCTTTAAGGACTTAACTAGTGAGTTGGGGTCACCCTGATCACTGGAGTGAGAGTGTTCCATACGGCCTTGGTAGCAGCTCTTCCTCCTGTCCTTCAAGGTCATTCCATTTCCCTTCTATGCAGTGTTAGGAACCAGAAAGGATACCTGTTTCCAGCTACTACCCATTTGATGAGGGCAGGAGAGGATAATGACTTCTGTAGCTGAACTTAAGTGCCAGGCGCATGTAGAAGGCAACAGTCAGGATCTTAACCAGGATTTATTATTTTGCTCTTTTAATGCTGGCAATAACAAGCAATGTGTATGGATCAGAGGAAAAGGGGCAAAATTCTTGGTTTGCCCTTGAGAAGCATAGATAAAGACCATTCTCTTACTTCTGACAGGCTCCACACTCAATTAGTCCATTGGCCTCTTTGATAGCAGGCTCGTACACAAACACAGGATATTCGGTGTCACAGGGTTGCAGCACATCATGTTTTTTATGTTTGTGAGCTAGAATGGGAAGAAATAAAAGAGTCAGAGGGAGAAAATCAAGCACGAGTGAAAAATGTAGAGAGACAAACTGCATGGACACCAAAGGCCACTAGATGCTGTTGCTGAGCCAATGATTGAGGATGTCTTCAATTTATGGTGCTAAATCTCCTTTCACTCTAGATACAGGTACAGTTAAATACTGTGCTAAAATCTTCAGAAAAGGAGACTTTTCTCGACCAGTTAGAAATTTTGGGAGTGACTGTCCAACTCTGCTAAAAGGGAGGAGAAAAAGGGCAGGAAAAGACCTTTATAATTCTCCACAAATGTCTGTTTTTGGCTTAAAGGGTCAATTGCATTTCTAACCCCTCCCTCCCCCCAGTCAAATAGATTCAAACAAATTGGTGCAATAAATCATGTGAGGCTCGATGCATCTGGCCAGTCTTTGGCATACACCTTACTGAAATAAATGAAATGAACATGGTTTGGATAAATCTGTCTAATACAATGGAGATTGCAAGAGAGAAATGCCAAGTGACTCATTAGGTTTATTCTCAGCTGTAGATTCCTTGGGACCAGCATGACAGTGGGAACTTTTAATCCAAATAGCCAAAATACAGGGAAAGGCAATGAAGCTATAATGCCAAGTCATTTCCCATATTCTTACTAAAAGTAATTTCAGCAATAAAGCAACCCCCCACATTTTCTACTTCTAGGGTGACAAAAAAAAAGGTAACATTTAATTTAACTTGCCCATTTGTAATGAAAACTCCCCATGTTTGTCCTGGGATGAGAAGGATAAGCAATTTTTATTCTTGCTTTGAAAAGAAATTCCTTTCAACTCAAATGCAATGTTTTATTACAGACTAATTTAACCAAGAAGCCGATAATCTCTTAGTTGCATGGGATGTCAACCAACGGAGATCAGTGAGATATCTTGAAGGGGGATGTGAGTTGATCAGCTAAAGAGATAGTCCAGTTAATACATAACCTGGTTGCCAAGAGGGAAGAAATCTCTGATCCAACAAGGCCTGGGTCAATCTCAGTTGAAGCGCAATGTTTGTTTGAGAATAGCAATTGCAAAAACTATCATTTGCAAATATATGGTATACACAAATAAAATTGCTGGCTTAGTGTATCAAGGTGACTGCTAGAGGAAAACACTGCTAGTATTTACAGTGTCACTAAGGACCCCTCAAAATAGCATAAATATGATTTATTGAGATTAATTGGTCACCCAGCTCCACTCCGAGTACTGTACAAAAGTTTTTTTTAAAAAAGTAAAAAAACACAAAAATAGCATTTTAGCATGACTGTAGCTTTGTTGTTTAAATGATGTATGTTGATTGCCTTTATTTAGTATTCTATTATGATTTCTGTTGTTTGCTCATTTAGTATCCTATGAGTATCACTGAATTTATATGTTATGAATTATGATGATTGTATTTTATGATTGATTGTGCTTGCTGCTTGTATGCACGCTGAGAGCTTACGCACTGGAGACAAATTCCTTGTGTGCTCAATCACACTTGGCCAATAAAGAATATCTACTTCAATATACTATCTATTCAATGATCAAATTCACTAGGGAAAGGACCTTGAGGAAAATAGGCAAAAAATGTTATGTAAGGAAAGGGGGCTGAAACATCCTTCAAGCCCTGGGAAACAAGGGAGTATTTAGAAGAGACTGAAGCAACTCCTTTCTAATTCATTGGGACATACAAAGGAAGGGGAGGTAAAAAGCACAATCAGGCTTGGAAGATTCTGTTATTATAACCTATTTCAATAGAGTTTAATTCTACTCTGTTTAATGATCTGGTCTATCCTGAAGGGCTGACAGCAGAGCATTATCTATATATATATAAAAGCGAAATACCCCTCATGCATCATCACAAAATCTCCAGAATCGTAAAGCCTACAAACTTGAAATTTGGCACGAATGTTCCTCTTAGCTTCTAGGTGCTCACTATGAAAGGATTTTTTGAAATGACCATCACAGCATTATTATTAACACGCTCTGATGCTAAGGAGTTCTACTCCCACACCCCACCTGAAAAAAAATCTGTTCCAAATGCAAAACACAAGCAGCGGAGAGGAGTTTCAGTTTCAGAGCACCAAGCAGTTTTAGTACAGAACAGTTGAGCTAAGCCATGCCCAGGCTCCTTGCTGTCTCCTTCTTGCTCACACAGCAAATACCGTTTCAATTTCCATGTTTCAGTTTCCAAACAGCCCTCAACTGTCTCACACACTGACAGGACGCTAGCCAGATGAATACCGATGGATGCTGGTAGGCAGAGGCACAATTTTTTCCCCTTATTTTCCTCCCCAAAAACTAAGCCTGATCACATAGTTTCATAGTGAAGCACAGGTATTGGGCTAGTATTCATATATAGGTAGTCTTCCACTTACAACCATAACTGAGCCTGGTTTTATGGTTGTAAATCATTAAGTGTCATCATAGGATTGACATTTTTGCAATGGTCGTGAGGGAACCTGTGGTTGTTAAGCAAACTCTGTCTGCAATGGGTGCTTTTTACCAGAGGTAAATGTTGCTTTCTGGCAAAATATGTAAATCATGGACACTGCAAATGGCTGTAAATGTGGACCAGTTCCTGAGCGCCCAAATTAAGGATGTAGTTTTTTTAAAACTACATTCACATGACTAGGGAGGACAGAACTTTGAATCCAGGACGTCTCTTTTTGGGTCCATTGCAACTTCAAGTCATAGTTAAAGGACTGGTTATAAGCAGGGGTGGGATTCAAATTTTTAAACAACTGGTTCTGTGGGTATGGCTTAGGTGGTGGGCGTGGCTGGATGGACATGGCTTGGTGGTCATGTTATTGGCTGGGCGTGGCCAACTCAATATCACTCACATCGAGGCATGCATCTCCTCGCCTGGCCTCTCATGACTGTGGGGATGCTGCAACAGTTGTAAGTGTGAAAAATGGTCATGTCACTTTTTTCAGTGCCATTGTAACTTTGAATGGTCACTCCACACAAGCAAAGTACCAGCAAAGGAGGGGGAAAAAAACTCCAGAGTCCTGCCAAGTCCTGCCAAGAATGTAATAAGGGTTAACAGAGAGACAGTTTCTATAACCAACACCAGAATGTTTCCTTCCTGCCTTCCTTACAGGATTAGGCCAGTAATTTCTTCTAACAACCGGTTCTCCAAACTGCTTAGAATGTTAACAACCGTTCTAGTGAATAGGTGCGAACTAGTAGAATCCCACCCCTGGTTATAAGTTGAGAACTATGTGTAACATGGAAATGTAAAAACTGAATGAATATAACTATGGGAAAGCCATGAAGAAAATTCTTCCTATTTTTTCAAATCTGAAAAATGTAAAAATGAAAAAAATAGATGTTAAGATGGAAGACTTAGAAAAATGAGTGGAAGATTCTTCTTAGCAATATATAAAAGAATCATCACTCTTCTATTTTCTCATTTTTTTTTATTCTGCCATTGTTTTGATTTTTATGGACAGTAATTACCGTCTCCGTATAATACCCATTGATTTTATGAAGACGTGTAGAAATCTATATATTTTGCCCTAGTTGCATCTATATATGTCATGTGTAGTTATTCAGCTATCAAGCTGGACAAGAAAAAAATTATAAAATATATTTATCTTCCATTGAATTGTGGCCTGATAACCAAGTAGAAAGTTATCTTCCTGTTTGATATTGAAAGATTTAATTAGGCTATGCATAAATTGTGATATTATGAACTTTGTTGTTAAATCTCATGCAAGTCTTCTAATTCAGAAGACAAAACTCTTTGTATGACAACACTACTTACTTACCATGATGAAAAACAGATTTGGCTGTATTGTTCACATGGCGTAAGAAATGATGAGAATGAGTCCATCATGACACGTCCACAAGATGATGACACAACATTATTGTGAAGATACATGAAAGAAGGGAGAGGGATGGAAAATGAAGAAAGAAAGAAATGATATGATGGTATGGTGGTTAAAGTAATACAAGGTCACAACTATTCTATATGAGGTATCCCAATGCTGTACTATAGAGGTTTTAAAGGTGATGACCAGCACTTTGAAGTAGGTTTCTGGACCTAATTCAAAGTATGTGTCATTATCTTTTAAGCTCTACACATGGAGTACTGGGATACATCCAGGATGGCTTTGGAAAAAGTGAAGGTATCCACTCGGTCTGATTATGTAGAAGGGTTCTGTTGAGGGATTTCTCTCCCTGAGTCATTCCTAGACAACAGGTCTTTATGCTATCAATCCCCATTCTGTGGGAAATAATTCTCTTGGTGATTCAGGCTTCCTCAACCTTGCAGGATCCAATCTGGATCGGTCACTGGGACCAGAGTCTTTTATGCTTTTGGACTCGTAATGGAGCCCATCCTCAGGGAACTTCTCTCTCCCAGAAGGTGTGCTTTTTTCCACTGGTTGTTGTTTTCCTTGTGCTGCCAAGTCCTCAGCTCTTAAACACCTGATAATCTGGTGGTAAATCAGCACTTCTGTTCAAGGAGCCTGTTTCCCAGCTCCAGTCATTTCCCTGGCTATCTTTGCATCTGCTCAGCCAACAATCTTAGTAGCTGTGAAATTGAATGTACGCCCTTGTTCATTGCAATGTGTGGCTACCAATGAGTTCAAGTCTCATACTCCTTGATTTAAATCAGAGCACTGCGACATCTCCATGCTGGGAATTGGAGTCTCTTTTTAACTGGACAACAACCAGCAGGGGAAATTGTATTTCTTAGCATTGCCAGCCTCCTCCCATCTAAACAAGCCTCAACTTTGTTTAGATTTTAGAAAACAGTTAAAATGAAGGCTGCCCCACCACTCTTGCCATGACCAGTTATGAAAGGTTACCATGATCACCGATCTCATTACACCATTTTATTTTCAAGTTTTAACTTTTGCTTTTGAACTGGCATCAATTTATTTATTTATGGGAAAATAAAAATATAAATAATATGTGGGTGTTCTCTCTGCCTATCTGTCTCACTCTCTTTCTATGTAACTATCTTAAGCACAATTTATATGGTTAATTTGATGATGGTCAAAATTTTGGGGGAATGTATGTATTTATGACCCAACATGTGGTACAGTGCTTTTTTTGAAATGGTTACTGTGGCTTTTAAAAAAATGTACTTAGCATTAATAACAAATTGGATATTCAGGATATATTTTAAGAAATTATTCTCTCCTTTTAAACTCCTCCTGATTTGTCCTTATGCACAGTCTATAGTCACCAAGACTAGAACTTTATTCTTTAAAAAGAAAAAAAATAAAGTTATCCATTTTCATAATTTTAATAATCTATGAACCATGAAGAACTTCTTCCAGTTAATATAAGTGAAAGATCTTATGTTAATGTATTTCTGACTTAGGTTTTTTGGTATCCAGTACTAATATTCCCTCATGTGTTCCAACTAAAATACCTGAGCAAATTAGAATAAATGAACAGTTTCATTGACAATTTTCAATAGTCTTCTACCTATCTTCTGTGACAGCCTACTACAGACTATGTAACCACGGTACCAAAGTAATCGATGCCATTAATCCTTGCCAAATTAATGCTGATGTCAAAATGAGATGAATGGAATTCAAATGTAATATTCTTAATACTAAAGGTAAAGGTTCCCCTCGCACATACGTGCTAGCTAGTCGTTTCCAGCTCTAGGGGGTGGTGCTCATCTCCGTTACAAAGCTGAAGAGCCAGCGCTGTCCAAAGACATCTCCGTGGTCATGTGGCCAGCATGACTAAACACCGAAGGTGCACAGAACGCTGTTACCTTCCCACCAAAGAGGTCCCTATTTTTCTACTTGTATTTTTACATGCTTTCGAACTGCTAGGTTGGCAGAAGCTGGGACAAGTAACGGGAGCTCACTCTGTTACACGGCGCTAGGGATTCGAACCACCGAACTGCCGACCTTTCTGATCGACAAGCTCAGTGTCTTAGCCACTGAGCCACTGTGTCCCTTTTCTTAACACTAACAAGTGACAATTCTTTCAGGCTGTGCTAAATTGCATTATTACTGATAACTTTTCCATCCAAATGTTGTGGCTTGCTATGTGTTTTCGGCAATCCTGCATACTCACCATCAGCCAAGCTATCCATGTGCCAGAAACTAAAAATGTTAAATTCCAAAAGGAATCTGTCAAAAAAGAAAAATATGATATAGTTTATGTCAGCCCAGAAGGGCAGAGGTGTTGTCAAACAGGCAAGTACTTCTGATTTGCTGCTTAGAATTTGCCTTGAAGCAACATTTTATTTCTTGCCTGAACCAGACACTTCAAATCCTTCTTCCTTACGTTTTGACTAGGTAATTGTGTCTTTATTCTCATAAAAATTAGTAGCAATTCCAGTGGCAAAGTTGTCATTAACACTGTGCTCTTAGGAGCTGGGAGGGAAATACTCTCAGTCACCTTGAAAGCCATCTGTTTGATCATAGTGAATCATTGGTCTGTGATATACAGCAACAGCTGTTGAATGTGCCTGGCAAATTAATCTCTACAAGCATCTTGGAATCTGGTTCCATGCTCAGAGGCATTTGGATCCAACCCTTTCATCTGAGACCCACAGCATCATTGAATGATGCTACCCCAGATGTCTTTATCATCAGCAAATCTTTCTTACTAAAAATCCCTGGTCTCCCATTGATAAAGTTGGCAGGGAAAGGAAATGGCCTTAAATGCTCAGGAACAGAACGACCTCTTTTCCAAGGTGCCTCCATTCACACAGATCACTTTAGAACACCCAGTTGGCCGAATTTGAGACATGAAGAGTAATTCTGAAGACTCGGAGATACACCTTGCTTGACATTAAAGTATTGCAACATCTCCGTACTGGGGAATTGCAATCTTATTTTAACTGGACAATTCCCGTGGGGGAAATTATATATTTCTTAGCACTGCTGGGCATTTTGAAGTTGCTTTAATATTTTCTTATTCATTTCCTATTATAATAAAATTCCAGAATAACAACAACTCTATAAAAAGTTAAGAATATGCTTAATCTGAAGGCCTCAAAGATTCAATGTTTAGCATACTAATTAAATTCTGAAACATAATTTCTTCAGATGCAATTTTCCGCTAGCATTCCCAAACATTCATACTCACATGAAGAAATCGGTGATCATCCATTTTGCTGCTGCCAATAATGTATAAATTGGCTGTTGAAAAAAGAATGACTAAGTCTCAAAAGAAAAAGAAATATCTTACATAGTGCACAATTTCAATTTTTTTTCTTTCCCTTAATAACTTAAATGGCTTTCTTTAAGAATCTGCAGGTATTATACAAAATGCATCCAAGTCAGTTGTCTTTTCCACTAATGATAAATCAGGACATTTAAGAAAAAATATATAAAATATTTTGAAAATAAAGTTTTCCCAACTGAAAAGGCTAAAAAGATTATGTATATAAGAAAAAACAAAACCCAGTTATTTGTGAAACTGAACAACCACTACCTCCCCTAAACAGCTGTTTTGGATCATGCAGTACTGAAAATATTTTAACAAAACCCAAAGTATTTTGGATAGTAAAATTTCCACTTTTTGTCACAGTAGGAATAATGACTTGTGTTGATGTTGGGTTATATTAATATTACATGAATGTTGGTTTTGTCTTCTTATGAATATTTCTGAGCTACTTTTGCTATAAATCTAGGTCTTCCTCATTTTGACCAGACAAATGGAGCCAAACTAACACTACCATCTTCAGGATGTATAATTCATAATTTACTTTACATGGTTAAAAGGTCCCTGCATCTCCACACATATGTAATTCAATCTTAAAGACAAAGAGGCAACCATCTTAAGAGAATTGAGATCAGTTTGAATAAAATGAAAGGAAGAAGGGTCTGTTTATAAAGACAATATCATTCTAGTAAAGGTCCTTCATTGTTAATATAATATAATTTTTTTTCTTATGTTCAATTGTGTCCAGTTCTTGGAAACTGCTGAATAACTTCCTGCTGTTTTCTTAGCAAGATTTTTCAGAAGTAGTTTGCCATTGTCTGCTTCCTTGGGTTGAAAGAAAGTGACTGGCCCAGGGTCACCTAGGTGGGCTTTGTGCTTAAGGTGAGAGTAGAACTCAGTCTACCAGTTTCAAACTTTTTATTTTTTGAAAATTTTATTTGGGTTTTCACACAAAAAAACATAATACAAATAAAACATCTTTTTTTGAAAATAGCATGGTCCTGGGTTACACTTCTTCATACAGACACAAACTCAATTTCATGGTCACTTTTATGTTCTATTCCATATCTTATTACTGTTTTACATTTTCCACATAGTTTTTCTCCTCTCTTAATTTTCTCAATTTTATTTTAATTATCTCATATCAATTCAAATCATTATATTTATACTTTTGTCTGTCCTGTTTCAATTTCATATTTTCTTTTCTCATTAAACAAATTTTCTCCTGTAGTTATTAATTGGAGTATGACACCTTTATATCTTTTAATTTTATCAATTCAACTCTTATTTAAGCTTCTGGTTTGAGCCTCTTTGCGGACAGACCGAAACCGTAATCGTGCGCGATTTTGATCCGTGCTCACCGCTGGAGCGCCCCGAGCCAGCTGGTTTTGGGGCTAAGCCACCCCGTACATCTCTCCTCCTCAGCTGGCCATTATTCCCTTTCCCGAAGGCAGTTGCAGCGGTGGTCAGAAATGGCCACCTCAAAGAAGAACTCGACTGGAAAAGAATGTGCAGGAGGAAGATAAGAAGAGAAAGTTTTGGTTGATTGGATTAAACTGCAAAAGCAACAACTAAGGTATCCTGGAATTTAAACTAAAAAAAAGTAACACTGTTCCCAAAGAAGATTCTCAAGCAGCAAAGGAGAGAGAAAAGGGAAAGGATTTGGTTTTTTTTTCTTCTCTCCTTTTCCCTATACTGCCAGCTAAGAGACCTAAATAAGAAATTGGAAAAAAAATCCACTTTGACATTAATAGGCATTCAAGCTGAAAATAAAATGTCAAAGGGATAATAAACATTTCTGAATACTTAAACCTTTTAAAAGCAGGAAAGGAGAGAAAAAGAATAAAAGGGCAGGATCTGGAAAAAAGGGAGGAGACTGCCTGGAATTACAGTAAAACCTCAACAAGACTTCTAAAAGATACATTTTAACTGAAACTTGGCTACAAAATAGTAGAACCCCAGGAAGAGAAAGTGGAAAAAAGAAGCACGAAGAAACAGCTTGGGAGTATTTGGATTACTTGGTGATCTCTGGATTTTTGGTTATTGCATTTGAATGACTAAAATCAATCGGGTGGTTGTTTAAAAGTGTTTTAAAATGGCACTACTTTTAGATGAACTAAAAATGGAACTTAAAAAGTACAAAGAAGATGCACAAGAAGGGAGAGGTTCTTTTGGCTTCGTATTTCAATTCTTAGAAATGGAGATCT